TAAGGTATACTTCCGCCTCCTCTCTGAAGATCTCAGGGCCAGGAAGACTGCTCCCTAATTCATGTATTCGTTTGCACAGCTGGTTTGGTGAGATTTGCAGTTGACAGAGCACCTGTGTTGTTATTTATTTATTTTAATGCTGTTGATTTCAGAAGTCCTTTCTTTTCATGCCTGTTGCAATGCTGCTGTTACGCTGACACTCCCATCAAAGTTCCACTGTTCTCCTCCAGTCTCTTTGTGGATGCTTGTGTATCTCTTCCCCACAACCTCCTGATCCGTTGCTTCTCTTCTCATCTGAAAATCAAGGATAAGCGCCTGCTTTTCACAGAACCTCTGCCGTTTCACATGACTGCCTCATTAAAAGAAGAGAAACCTTCCTCCCACTTCCGACACCATGCTCTCTTTTCTGGGATTTTATTTGCCAAATCCTTTTTCTCCACACTAAACCTGGCATGACATCTAGGATCCAAGAACAAACTCTGCAGTCATTTTTTTCTCCCCCTTTAATGCTGCTGCAGTTATCTCTGTTTGGCTAACTGCACTGGCTGGGGTTTTTTTGGGAGTTATTCACATATACATATATGAATGAACTGGGGCTAGAATTTCCAGAGAGCATTTATTATTTTTAAAAATGAACTTGTTAGGTACTTAATCAGTGCAGTACTAATGACAAGATGCTTTCATGTTACAAGCCGATTTTGCTAATATGCTGCAGAGATTCCTCCTCCCTCACAAGCGACTGGTATGTTTTACCCAGTTCTAAATGGGAAGAAATAATTTAAACTAGGGGAGTCACAGTTGGGAAGTAGACCATAATTATTTGACAACTTGGCTCATTTAACTTACCTCTCCCCTGTTGCAGAGAGAACCTAAAAAAAAAATCTTTAATGGTCTCAAGATGGCATCGACTTTGATCATTGTAAAACTTCCTATGAGGTGGGTGGGTTAATTTCAGGGCAGCTGAGCCAGTGATATGGGTTATAATGGTAAAAAACGAATGAACAAATGAACAACACTGTATTCCAATGGTCAAATGAAGCAATGGCTAAAATCTTGTTGCATAAATTACCCTGCAGAAGAATGATGACGCCACCACCAAAGGGAGATTTTATTGTGTGGAAGTTGTGGGCGACAGGTCTTGAATTATTAAACATCCCTCCCTTGCCAATGTCATCATCATCATCATCATTTTGCAGGCATAATGTAACCAACAGCATTTTGATCAGTATATTCAGAAGATAATTAGAAGAGGCGCTTTCCTCAAGTGGTGAAAAATGTCATTGTATGTGATTTTCCTCACCTTTATATCTAGCCCTCCAGCATGGCTTGGTTTGTGATCGTGGGAAAGTAAAGAACTGGCCCTGACCATTTGATTGCTGAGGCATGCACTCTTGAGGAAATCTTATTTTGGGAAGGAAATAGCTTAATTGCAGAGCATATGTATTCTGCTAAGTATCTTTGAAGATTGTCAGTCATCCAGGTGTGGTTATCTGGAAGCTGACTCATGGCAACCAGACATCTTTCTTGTTAGGTTGAAAGGTTTCGCTACTCATCCAAGTAGCTACTTCAGTCTGAGGAGAGTTGATAGGAGACCCCTGATATATCCTGCACATTGGTTGTACTTCCCCCTGGTCCAATGTGGAAGATGTTATCTGGGTCTCCTACCTTTGAATACTTTATTACGATCAACATATCAGATGTGGTCTCCTACCAATTCTCCTCAGACTGAAGAAGCCACTTGGATGAGTAGCAAAACCTTTCAACCTAATAAGATAGAAGCCCAATAGCCATGACTCCACTTCCAGATATTCTGCTTAATGTGTAATTTGTCCCGGCACTCTTCCCTAAGGCAATTAAATCTACTGATTTCACTGGACATTCGGGAAGGTTTTCTTTCAGCCTGTACACCTCTGCCATTATAGATACCAGCCCAACAAACAGCTTGCCTGACCACATAGGTGCTCGGCAACCTCCCTCTCTTCCGGGCCCTGTGGCAAAATTTCTGGTTCTTGGTACCCTGCTGAAATTTAATCAAGGTGTGGTGATAACTTTGTATACAGTTTGGCCTCTTTTCTGGTGGACTGTGAGCACCATCCTGACTTTGTGGTAAAATATACTTTGCCTCAAGGAGAACTTAACCATGAGGTTTCCTTAGCATCAACCCAAGGCTCAGAGTTATATCTGAAACACCTCATTTTGGCTATTGATGGACAAATCATTCTAACCCAACATCTGGGGAAAATTCCGCAGCTTTCAAAATGGCAGAGTGTTTAAATATACAGTAATGTTTCCAAAAGTCTAACCCTTTTGACTTTGACTTTTGACATCAGCATCTCACAGTAAACCCCTTGTAATCTTTCTGGGCGCTTTAAAAATCTGTCCTGGGTCAACAGTAAAAGCAAAGGAAATAACTAAAAATAGCCTAGGCACTGTTTTGATTTCTCCATTAGAGACACATCTTTCTGTTTGATTGGATTTCTTTGCTTTTTCTGCAGTACCGGCAAAAGTACACATAAGCTGTTACGTTCCACAGGGTCGTTTTGTAAAAAGGCTTGTTTGTAAGTAGGTAATAGAAAGAGCCAATTTGGTCTCGTGGATGGTGTTCAGGGCATTTGACTCAAATCCTTGATCATGGGCACTTCCTGGGTGTAGCAACAGTCAGTAACTCATTGAACATCTCATATATTAGAAGCACTATAGATTGGAAGTGACTTGATATGCAACAAATTATAGCTTTATCCATTATAATAGTACGGGATTAAGGATACAATCCCATACCACCTTTTTGGGAATAAACCTGACTGTGCATTGTAGGGCTTTTTTTGGTAGTTTTAAACCCATGCATGTAAAATACAACCTTTTAACCTGCTTAATGGCACTCCACAATCATTACAACACATAATTTGTAAGTTTCCTTTATATACATTTCTTAATACAGGGTATTGCCCATTGGCTTGAGTTGTAAGGTCACATTAAGTGAAAATCGACATGTAAACAGAGAACGCTTAAGAAACCCGTGGATTTTTTTTTTAAAGGCTAAATGGTAAAGAAACCAGGTGTTCCTCACAAGTAGCAACACTGCACTTTCTTAGCTGTTAACATGCACACTGAAGAATGAATTTACTGCACAGGTGCTTGGAGCATACTACGAAGGTCATACAGCATGAAGTTATATCAAAGTCTAAGAAAAACTGGAGAGTTTTATTTATAAGTGGTTTGATTGTAAAAAATATTCAAGCCACACCTGTAGAATTAAGAAAATACAAATTACGAAGCATGCCTTCTTGTCTGAAGTGCAAGCAAGACATCACAACCAATAACCTTCCTCGAAAGTGGGAGAAGAATGGCTGTTTCTAAGGAAGCCACCTGGATGCGGTTCCCAGTCCGGTTTGCGACTAAATCCTTCTGTAAAGAACCTGCTTTCTGATGGGTAGAGAGCAGGTGACACAGGGCCTTGCGGCTGGGAGGCAGCAAATAGAGAGAACGTTTTTGCACCATGTTAAACATTCTGAGGAATATCATGTGGGATTTGTAGTCATTGAGACGAGTAGCCAATTTTACTTGTTAAGAGAGCTTCATGAATGACAAGCAGGTGAGTGCATTTTGTTCCTGGTTAGGAAACTGCCGGATAGCTCAGTGGTTTAGGCATCTGACTGCAGAAGCCAGAGGTTTGGAGTCTGATTCCCCACGGGGCCTCCTTGACAGGAGCTGGACTCGATGATCCACGGCGTCCCTTCCAGCTCTGCAGTTCTAAGATTTGTTATTATTATAAAGCTGCAATGGGACAGCATTGGGCAACTTTTAACTCACAGATCCTTTTACTGTGCCATGGCGCTGCAGGAGGTGTGGATCTTATTCCAGAAATAACGTGACAGGGAGAATACCCTTTCCAGAAAGAGCCATAAAGGGAACCAGGAACCATACCAAAAGTTGAGGGGAATCAAACAATTTCAGTGGAAACCGGGTTATAGGTAGGAATTCCCTGCAATATATAACAAATTTAATAATATTCATCAGTTTTTAAAAAGTGGGCCTTGAACTCAGCTGAAGGTGAACTCAGTCATCTTACAACAGTTTGATTTCTTGCAAGACAAGGAAAGCTGCATTCCTTAATAATCTATATTCCCCCAGGGAAAGCATAAGAAATGGATGCCAACAGTGATGTTTATGGGAAGAACATTAAGACTGCTGTAGGACAAAGGAGCAAAAGTGCAACAACTCTTTTGAAAGACATGGGCGAATATTCTTTTTCACAGTTAAGTACCTGCAGGAGGGTTTTGCACCATGTAAAATATGGCAGAAATCGTCTATCAGCATTTTGCTTTGAAAATCCCTGATGTATTGCTGCAAGAGGAACATACAAGTCATGATATAAACAGTGGGACACATTATGATGATTGCAAAACAAGTGTTGGGGTGTCATTTTCCCTGTGCTTAGCATAATGTGCTGTTAATGCATGGCAAAGAGTAACAAAGCTAGAGGAATTAAGTTGATTCAGCATGCAAGTCCTGGAGTTTGCCTGTCAAGTGTAAGAACCTTGATTTTTCCAAATGAAATAAACAGTTGCAAAGGCAAGAAGACCATTTTGCTTGTTTCCCTCCAACAAAATGTGAAGATTCTGAATATCTATGCTGGTTTAATATCCTTACAATGTTGGTCCGATGCCATCAGCAGAAGCAACCAAGCTGCCGGTTGCTGGCCAAAAAAGCCTTAGGACTGGTCCATAAGGAATCAGTAATTAAAAAGGCAGCAATGTAAAATTAGTCAAGATGAACCAGATGGATGCAATGCAACTCATTTGAGTCTTAATTGGCACTTACCACAATAACTCTAGCTACAATCTGACAAATATGATAAATGCCTTTGATGTAAAACTATATGGTGCTGTACCCACTTTTTATTACCGAAGTAATTAAAACATGGTACCTGAAGAAATGAAAAAGAAATGAAGCAAAATAGGGAGGTTATGTTGCCAGTGACCAGACTGTTTATATTCTTCATTTGTGAGTTTCGCTCCCCCGCCCCCAAATGTGAAATAACTGAAGCCCCATGCAAAACCTACTGTTTTGTTCTTCAACCAGATGGGCAGTTCAACGGGAAAAAATGATTTATGAAGAGATTTCCTTCAGGGGAAAATTACTTAAATAAGCTTTTTCTTTAAAAAAAAGTATGACTACTTATGGTGCAATCAAGTTCCATATGGTACATTTTTGTAAACACAGATGAACTGTATCCATAGTATTTACACACACACATTCCATCTGAATGGAGATTAAAAGTCAATAGCTAATGCACCTTGAGGTGCATCTTCCCGACCCCTCACGTAGATTTCACACGGAATCTCTTCCATGACTCTGTCTTCTATCACTTGCTCTGGGCACTCATGGGCCTGCTTGAAAGTATAGCTGCTTTTTTTGAAGGTGCTATTAAAGGTCTTCATGGGCTGTGGCTGAGAAAAATCATTGCGGAAAGGAAGTTCCATGGAACTGAGGTTGGTCCTGCTCTGTTTTACTGGGGCCGCCTGGGAACCGCAATGATGGTCATGAATGCACCTCGAAGCTGTCGAGGACCGTCTCATTTTCTGGTAGTTTTCAAGTTCTTCAGAGAGGTCAGCCAAGTCAGCAGAAATCTCTTTGTCTCTTAGAGAGAAGAGCTCGTAATGAGGAGGATCAAAAACCTCCTGGAAGCCAGTCTTATTGAAAGTCGCTTTGCAGGCCATCACCTTCTTGCGAGGCTGCTTGACCTGCACCAGGATGGAAATGATGAGAAGGACCAAGACAATCCCTGAAGTAATTCCAATTATAGTTCCGTGTGTTTTGGTGATTTGTTCAAATAATCCTGTTTTCTTCTTTTCTGAAAGGGGGAAAAAGAGCAAGCAGTTTTAAGTCTGAACAATGAAGTACCCTGTTAAGATTAATGTAAGCGCTGCCTGGAAGCTACTGAAGTTTTCCTGAACCTTCGCAACACAGAAGTCAAGCAGTCCAAGTATCCAATTCTGCAAGTATCCAATTCTGATAATGTGGAATTCCTCCATGCAAGTAAGTGTGGAAGTTTGAGCCTGTATGTCATGGCCACTGCTGGTTAAATAGACTGTGAACCTTTCAATTTGTACAACATGTTGCTTCACTAGAAGCACCTGCAGGTTGTACAAGTGCAAGGAAAACACAGGTTGTTTGCTGGCAGGGAAATCAGACTGGAAGAATGACTGTGGCCAGAATCCTGCAGATGATTTATGCCTCTGTGAGTTAAAGTGTGCAACTCATTATGGCGAATTGCCGCTAACCAACAAGGACCTGATCACATTACTGAGTGGGTACTTGTTGCACAACTGGATACATGCACCCCAAGTGCAGCCACTGTCTCATCAGTTAGTGGCAATTTGCTACGGGGAGTTATTTCTGCAATTCTCACCCTTTCTCTAAATAATTATAGTTGTTCTAATAACTCTTTGTGATCTAGATCATGTAGGCTTAAAGGAATATTATGAAGAAGCATTAAAACAACTGATTGTGTAGAAGAACGGTTAGAATCACAGAAACAACTCCTTTTTGGTATTTAAGGACAGAGGCGAGATGGATATCTCTGTATATGGAGCGATTAAACAAATGAAAATCTATGAGAAGTGGCCCTCGCTCACTGGAATACAGTTTCTGGGGCTGCAACATTTAATTGATTACTCAATGAAACTGACAACTCCAGAATTGCCCTGCAGAGCCAGAGAGAAGAGCCAGCAGCAGACGGACCCCCCCACCACAGCAGGCTTAAGACTACTTTTAATAATACTGCAAGGGCAGTCATGAAGCCCTACAAAATAAGGCAGTGAATATATGTGGAGTGAGGTCGCAGCATGAGCATCCCCTCCTGCCTCCCTCTCTAGCTGGATTTAATAGGGCATCTGAAATGCTCTGGGTCCCTTTTAATACCAGCGTTGGATTAGTGTCGCCATACATAACCCCTCCCCCGAGTTTGATTAAAATGTTAGCTTTCCAAATAAGTTATATTTTGTTTGACACCTTAAGACCTAGGAGAGATATGCCACACTTTAAGCACTGAGGAGTTGACAGAAATTATCAAGTCACTTGAGCACTTTGCACATAAGCACCCAAGATGGCACTATTAGATTGCACCAATCTTCTAAATGTAACATAAGTGTTGGCGGGGGAGATGCAAGCTTTGGAAGAGAAGGTTAAACAAAGTGTCCCCAAATGAAAACAGTGGCATTATATTTTGGATATTAAAGTCTGTATCTGCATTGAAAACATGAATGAAGGATGGATGCATAGTTTTATCCACTTTGTCTTCCGATGTTAAAACAGATTTTGGAACCGAACAAATGTACGAAACACATAAAGAGGCAGCAGAACAGCTGCCTCAAGATTTGGCAGTGATCAAACAGGCTCCTCCCATATGCTTTTGCTCCTGCACTGAGATTATCATCTTAGGCCACGCTCCGGGTGCCTGCCTGTGAATACTGAGATTTAGTGGGTGATTGCTCCTAAGCAGATCTTTTTTGTGATGGTCCCCAAATTATGGAATACTTTCCCTAGAGAAATCCACCTGGCACCAGCTTTTGTCCATTTTCCTGGCATGAGTCATTTATTCTCATAGGGCCTTTCAAAAATTTAAGCTGTGTTTTAAAATTTCCCTTCTCTATGCTGCTTCAATATTTATCTTCTGCTTTTGATATTTTTTTAATGTCTGATTTTAATTAATCGCTTAAAATGATGCTTATGGATTCTATTATTGGTTTCATAGTGCTGTTTATGATGAATGTCACATGGAGAGATTTGGCTATAAGGCGGATTCATCAATGAAGTGAAATGAAATAAAGTAAATGAAATAGAAGAGTGCGTTGACTACGAGTGATTAATGTTAGCAAGGGAGGGACACAGTTGGAGAATGCTCACAGAAAATGACCCGGAGCTGGCCTGCAATGGATCTGTTTTTGTTAAACTTTTAAGACTGAAATATGGTAACCATAGAGCTATGCTGTAGCAAAGAGAATTGTCTCTGTGTGATTTTCTGACTCAAAGAAAAACAGCTTCAAGGTGAAAAAAAATCACAAACAAACAATCAGCAGCTGGTACACAGCTGGCAAATGTGGATGCCAGATATACGAAACAGACAGTAGTGGCAGCTACAGGTTTAATCTAAAATTTGGGAAGGCAGGTTTCTCAGGCAGAGGGAAAGACACATTGTTCTGTCCATCATCTTTTGGTTTTAGCAGATGGATTGCCTTTAGCCCGTATCGAGGGAAATGAGAAGGTACAAACCTAGAGAGCCCTGGATCCCCTACGGTGTGAATCATGGCGCTACATACCTTTGCAGTGGTTTTCATCCCAAGGGTATGCACAGTTCTGAATGCCATTGCAGACTAAAGAATTATTGATGCACATGTTGCTGTGGCAAAAGTAAGTGCTTCCTGAGCATGGAGCTGAGGAGGAAGAAGGAGAGGAGGAAAACTATGCGTTATCCAGATGCCAAGTATCTGAAATATACGTTGTTTGAATACGTATCATTGCTCTGATACTGAACTAGGATTTAAGTATATAAACGTCTTTGGCATGTTGTACAGTGATACTTCTACTGCTGTGGCTATTAGCATATCAAGTCTACTGCACATATTTATGGAAAATAGCATACCACTGCTCTCTTTTTTTCAAGTGATGATGTTCTGCTGATATTTACTATTGAAGGTTATTTATTAATGGATTGTTTTGTACTTAATGGAAGGTGGGCTAGCAATATCTTATTCTATGTTCTCTTTCCAGGCTGTGAATTGTTCCAATATGACATGTTCTACTAACTTGATGAAGTTTAATTTCATTTGGATGTTTAATTATGCTACTTATTTGGAGTGAGTGCACAGATAAGAAAATCTAGGCTTATTTATTTATTTATTGGACTTATATACACAGATAAGAAAATCTAGGACAACATGGGCCGCTCATCTACTATGAAAGCCACATTAATGATGTAACCTGTAGTTCTGCATGAGAAACGTCTAATGCAGAGACCTTGTTCTAACACGGTACCACTGAAATGTAGCTGCCCTAAAGCAAGCTACAACTTTATCTCAGAATCTCTTACACCAGTATTTTCAACTAACCAAATCTTCTTTCTTCCCAAGATTCACAGCATGATACTTTCTACGGTCTGGAGTTATATGCCAACTTCATAGCAATTCAAAGAAAAAGCAATATTTCTCGTAATACAGGGAGTCAGAGAAAAGTGAAGTCCGATGTAACTTCATAAGATACTTACGGTCTACAAACGATGTGAAGAGCATTCTGAATCTGCTTAACCTGCTGCCTTCATCTGCCCACATCCGCACCACTCCAATTCCAGTCTGTAGCATAACATCGTTTGCCACCGTGCTGCAAAATTTTGCTTTAAGGTTCTCAATGGAACTGCTTCCGTCATAGACAGCCACAAAGTTTCTCTTGCATTCATTTGAATGTTCCATTTGGTAGTCCAGAAACCTCAAATAAATCTGTTTGGTATGGGAAAAGAAACAAGACCTTGAAAAGGAGAAGTGGACTCATAATTAAGGAGCATAAAACCAAATGTGCAAACACCTTTGAAAATATGAACCAAAATATGGGAAAATATGCAATGGATGAACTCTATATCCAGGTAACTCCTGATGATGTCATCAGACATGGATGTTAATCTCTGATGCTCCTTAGCGATCCTTTCTGAACTTGAGAAGGCTTCGGGAGCCTTGGGGTGCCACCCCATCAATAGCTCACACCCATTAGGTAGCCATTAATAGAAACTGCCGCCACTGATCGTGCCACCGGCATAGGCCCTAGGGAGGGCAATTTTTGGACATTAATCATCCCCCCATTCGAAGGCTCCCAAAAGCTCCCCCAGGGCGAATGGGATCCCTAGGGAGCCTTAGAACCTGGGAGAAGTGGTAAGGAAACCCTGAAATAAAGTAATCATCAGTCCAGAGCTTACAAACTTCATTTTGATGATTGGGATTGCATTCTGGTATACATTTCTGCTCTGAATCTATAGAGGCTTTCACCTCTTGAGCACTAACCCCTCACCTCTTTGTTCAACTAAGCATCAAGGAATAATTAAGATAGCAGCATCTCATTACAGCCAATTCCTTCCTTAAATATGTCTTGTACTCCTCCAAAACAAACAGGTGAAACTACCAAACACAAGAATAAACCCCCACAAAGGATTGTTGTTGTTTCTAACAAGCCACTTGACAAAGAAGCCACATTTCACAAGGCACATAAGAGGGAAGAAGGGAAAAAAATGGCTGACCTGAGGAAAATCCTGATCTCTTGGGATTCTTTTTCTTGTCTTTTTGGCTGTCACTTCTTTGTGCTTCTATTCCTTCAAACTATCTGACCAATCTTTATTTAGGACAGTTCATTACACATTAATACCTATGATGTCACTAATCTATTTAGTAGTGTAACAATTGGGCAGTACAGTTGTACAGAAATTGGAATGCAGCCAAGAAGGTCCGTCTGCATCCCATCACCTAAATAGCTAACAGAAGAATATTCAGGAACTGTTCTTTCGTGGTTCAGCTGCCTTTACTTCCTAGAAGAAAGTCTTAAACTTTCAGCCTTTGCTGCAGCAGAGCCGTGTGATCTCCCTGACCTCCACTGCTAGTTCCTTTTGGATAAAGAGCACTTCCACTGCACATCAGGGCTTATCACCCAGCGGAGCTCAAGCATCCTTATCTTATAAAATCTAAAGGTAAAACTGAATGGTTTACCATGTGATTTAAGCTAAAACGGAACTTTCCAGGTACACTTTTAACTGCGTATACCCTTCCATTGTTCTTCAGAATTTTAACTTTTAAGAATTTCAAGACAGCACTGGCTTCTTGATTCACCTATGACTCACACTTTAGCAAAGTCTACTAGTAGTGAGAATCTCGGCAAATTTAATTCACCATAAATAATACACACTTTAGCAAAGTCTACTAGTAGTGAGCAAATTTAATTCACCATAAATAATGCACTGCAACCTCTAAGACTGAGGAAGATGAATTACAGTTAAACAAATATGCAGCAGATAATCAGTGACATTAATAAATATAACCACCAGACGTCCGGGAAGATAACTTGATTTCTTATTTTTAGTACGCAAATTACAGTGTCTATACATTACAGCTCAAGTTTTACAGGATGTCTATTACTGGCACTCTTCTCTACACAAAGTTGCACAGAGAATCTTTGTCTCCTGCTAAAGTGTTTACAGTACATGGGTTTGGTTGCTGGCATGATCCTACATGCTAGCAACCAAATATGCTTCCATATTTGCTTACTGATACATAGCGCTTGTATTAAACCCTTTGTATATGCATTAAACCCATTTCAAATGGATCTATTTCACTCTCCACTGGATAGAGAAGTGATCTTTTTAGGCAGAATTCTCCAAGAAAAGAATTTTTTCATTCCCTCCCAAGTAGGGGTGGAAAAGCTTGTAGCATATCAGCAGAAAAAGGTGCCCAAATCTGAATAGGTAGGTTTAAACCTGAAACAAGATGGACTATGATCTCTTTCAACCTGATGCTATAGAACAAGTCATAAATGTGCAGATTCTGTATAAGACAAATTATCAATCTAAGTCAATAGCTGCATAGAACTGCAACATCTGTTCCCAATAAAATAAGGAAATGCTTTTCCAGTGCCAAGTAATTTCACAAAATATATTATTAAGAGAATAATTCTATAGTTGTATTATGCTTAGAAAAATAATAATAAAATAACAATGTCCATGGAGGCATATGCTATTTTTCCCCCTAATTATAGTGGAGCGGCATGTGGCTTTGTGTAAGTAACAGGTCTTAGGAGCCAGTCATAGCTGTTAGCCCCATAATGGCTTTTTGTCACTGAAGAACAGTGCTTTTCTGGCCTTGAAGAACCTCTGTTCTTACTAAGGAAAATCAGCACTGAGGAGGATGGACAGAAACAGTGTTTGAAGTCTGGAAGTACCCTTATTCAAGTTTTTTTTCCCCATTTCATTTTGACCTCTCACAGAACTCCAGTTTTTCTCACAGTTGTTTTTAAAATACAGCTGAACAGTATAGAGCAGAATCAAGAGTAGTATTATGCACCAAAAGCAGTCTACGAAGTCAGCATCCATCTTGATTTATTGCAATCGCCAGCAGGTAATTAATTTCAACGAATGAGACACAGCATACAAATGATTACTAATGACCAGCCATTCCTGTCTACTAATGAACTGAAAACCAATTAAATACAGAACAATTCCGTGGACCCACCTTGGCATTGGGAGTAGCTTTAATGGTCCATATGCAATCCACTGCTTGTCCAGGCTTTGTTTTCTCTTCCTGTTCCACCTGACTGGACCGGACGATCCCATCCGCTCCTGAGAGCTCAAACTGACAATCTAGAGAGTAGGGCAGACACAGTGGGCTGTCAAACCAAAAGCGAGAGTGATTTAAAGAGTAATGAATGAAAGAGATTAGTACTGCAATACTAGACCTGGGATGGGATTTAAAATACCTCCTAGGTATGTGAAGTCTGGGTCTGTAAAAGAGAAGAAGAAAAAGATAAATGAATGAATGGACCCCTCAAAGTTTATTGGTCTCTCCACAGTTCAAATCAAGGATAGGAAAAGTGCTGTCCAGAAACCCCCCAGGCAGCCCCCAATGGCTCTGCACCACCAAAGGATTCTATGCCCCCTACCTCGCCCCATCCCCACGATGCCCATCAACAAAAGTTTAGGTCTGGAACATTTCACCCTAGCAAGTATATCCGTCCTCAGTAGTGCAGAAATAAGCAACTGGGAAAGGAGTTTACTGAGCAGATTTTAATATGGCTGGCTAGTGTATCCATACATTCAACACTAGTCTGGTACAATCTCAAGATAAAAGTGAGAACTGGGATAGGGGCACTTTTTACCTGGTATAAACGAATACTTGGCTTTAAATCCCTCTCCTTCTAGCTCTTCATCTGAAGTAAACTTTATCCACATGAATCTCCCTGTGGATCTAATGAGGCTAGGACTTTTTAGACCACAGTATCGATCAATGAGCGGAGAGAAACCAAATGGCCCATCTCGAACCTCCAGGTGATCAAATCGACATTCAAACGAAGGCTCTATGTAGTATGGTTCATCAAAGGTCAGCTCAATTCTTTGCCGTGGGGCCGCTATGGCAAAAAACAATCCAGATCAATATATATCCGACAGAAACAAAATAAAAAAATAAGGCAGACATGGCTGTTTCTTTGAAAATGATTCCAGACCAACATTACTCTCAGCCACAATGAACAAAACACTTTTGAGAAAGATCTGTCATTATATAATTATAGATCTACAATTAATTACCATGGTAATATACGTATGTTAGAAAGCACTGAGTGTTACTTAAGAGTTTAACAATGGAGTCTAATATGTCTACTCAGAAATAAGACCCAGTATAAATGGAGATGGAATGGCAGCCAAATATTCCACAGAACACATGCCAAAATGACAACTCTGTTACAAACATCAGAGGCTTGTGTTTGAGCCAAAAGTTGACAAATTTGTCCCAGTGTGCTATCTTCCTGATGTAAATATTTTTAAAACATCATTATGGCTTTAAAGCTATACATATTTCCAAATTTATGAAGTTCTATACAATAACAAAATATTCACAGAGAAGCTTAGTTTAAAGGAATATACAATAAATAATGACTCATACCCCTAATAATAACAAAAGAGCATGGATGTTTGGCATAGGAGGTCACAAAAAATGACTCATACCCCTAATAATAACAAAAGATGGATGTTTGGCACAGGAGGTCACAAAACCCTGGTACAGGAAGCTTGACATACATTCTACAATGACCCACAGAATGCGCACCTGCATCTTACTGGCTTTTAAACTGCACTGATTAATTTGAATGTGTCTATTTGTTTAACACCTGCAGTACCCTATTCAATCACTTGGTGGCATTCTTGTCTAACCAGCACATAACTTTGCAATCAATATAGTTTGAAGGGTAGAGGAAGTAGTATGGGAGTCAGTTATAGTCGTTAAGAACATTTTGACTTAAGAACCGCTCTCATAGGAAAATATTGACTTGACTTAAGTACTTAGATTTGAGTTAAGAACTAAAAAAAACCCACGTGGGAGGCAGGGAAAGTGCAAAATGTGAACTTTCAGTTAACTGTTGGCCAGTGAAAAGGGTGCCTGTCTGCTTCCTCACTCCTCCCAGCATTTAGAGAGTGGATTGGGAGTCTTCAGACAGCCTGGACTGTATTTTCCCTGCCTTCCCTGAACCTTTCTTGACCTAAGAAAAAAAGAAACAAAATATCCCCCTCTAGTGATCGAAGGCGGAATAGCAGCTTCCCATTAGTTTCTATGGATGGAAAAGAGCAGATACGGATTAAATGGTTTTCAATGCATTCCTATGGGAAATGCAGATTTGACTTGAGAACTTTTTGACTTGAGAACCGCCTTCCAATACGGATTAAGTTCTCAAGTCAAGACCCCACTGTATGGGAGACAGTTATAGTGCTGCTCCTTCCTCTCTTTTCGGCAGCCCCTTCCCAACCATGGAGTTGGCAGATCGGATGTCTCTTGGGGGGTTCTAGATATGCATCATGGCAGCAGGCATTGGAACAGCAATGAATCAGGGCTTAGAGAAGTTATTACTATTATTCTTGTCTCTCAGTGGAATTAACTGCTGGTGATGGACTCTCATTCATTCCAGGTTGTCAACAGAGATTCAATGGCTCTTACGATGCTTCAGCTGTGTATTTGCTGCACTAGCAGGGGGTTGAACTAGATAATCCCTGTGAACCATTTCCTCTCTAGAGTTCTACAATTCCCTTCATGTGCTAGTGTTGCCCCGTTCCTCATCTATATACTTTATTTGAGAGAACAGAACAAAAAAGTGATTGCTTAATGCACTCAGTTGCACTATAAGTAAGACCCTGACCTTCAGAAAATGGCAAAATGAAAGGCAAGCACTCTGAAATGATTGCAGTTCTTCTCTGACTTGAACAGAGATTGTTGTGTCCAAGTGAAGGAAACACTTATTTAGCATTTAGGGTAAAGTAGGCACCGAGCTTTCTGGAATTACTAGAGGTTGACACTATCATATTCACTCAGTGTTTATGATATTAACAGCGCACATGCATAAATATTATATATTTTCTGAGTTCAGGGTCAGTGCATTCCAGAACGTCATATCAGAAGTCCACATTTCATTCACGGGCCTGAAAAGAGTCTAGTCTTTTGCTAATACTTTCACTGCACTTTATTTAGAAACTTCAGAATTATGTTTAAACATTCATCTTTCCACTACAAAACATCAAAAAATATACCCACATTTTTTTTTAAAAAAAGAGAGATTACCTTCTAAAATATAGACACACTCCTGGTTAGGTGGGTAGAATTTAGGGAAGTTTGGTGACGCAAAGTGGCCTCCATTGCTTGTTCGTACCCAGTCACTACACTGGGTAGCTGCCATGCGATTGCCAATATTTTGTGCAACTTTTTGAAGAAAACACAAGAATACAATTCATGGTCATTTCTGGAAGTATCCACAAAGGAAAAAAAAAATCCTCCACAGCCCCGTGAGTGCAACATTGTTCAATTATCAAAGAAAATACAGATTGTATTGTATTTGTGGTTAAAGTAATGACTCTGTTATCAATTTACTTCTTAAAGGAAACGCTGCAACTTAGATATGGCAAAGTAGCACACAAAGAAGGAATGCACAGTTGTAGGTACTTTTAGTTGACTTGTAGGTCTCAAGCTCTCTCCACTTTCTAGTATATCGTACTCTGACATAAACATAATATACACATATTCTTCAGTAAAAATCCCTCTTCGAATCTGAAAATTGGAAAGTAACCTCTTCCTTCCCCTCTGGAGGAATAAAGTTCAAATTGAAATTTGTTCCTTCTCCTAAAAACAGGAGCTTAAAATGCATATACACATAATGTGGAAGATTTAATGTCAAATTTATCTCCACTTAAGCGTGCCAAGTGTTAATTACTCAGTGCCTTTCCCCCATGAATTCTTCTTATTTGGGGAGCAATTAACACATGCTATTGCTTGGTGAAAAAGTTAATTAGCATAGGCCTTTAATATCAACACTGCATGAACATGTGTTGAATTAAGAAATCTGACTTTTCATTCTGTTTAGCTGATTTCTTAAACCATGGTTTATGTGCCATGATTATATGCTGCTCTTTTGCTTTTTTCTTTTTTCTTCCCCCTATTGTGCACTGGTTTATGTTTGGAGATTTTGGCTTGCATTAAGCTTGAGGTCACCATGATACTCCAACCAGGAGCTCTGCTGCAATGTTGATGGGCAATATGAATTAATGGGAAAACTCTGGCTACATACAGGCCAGAATTTCTTCAGCAAAGCCAGTGTTTGCCAAGAAGATGGGCAGGCAAGAGAATAGAGCATGGCTATCTGACAGCATGAAGCCATTATAAATAACTGAGTGGAACCAGAGATAGGAAGAGTATTTTTTTTTTCCAAATGAGAACTCCTAGACCAACTTAGCCAGTATGGCTAGGGCTGATCAATGCTGACATCATGATGGCTGTTGACTCTGCCACTTAATTTTCAGTTCAGAAGATGCTATGAATTTATTATTCAGGCTCTAGGGATTTAATTATTCTGCTTTTTCAAAATCAGGACGCCAAACTTGTTTTGAACAAAAACAGTGCTTCTGCACATCAAGCCTTTAGTGTACAATCATGCAATTACAAGCTTTTCCCAAATAATAAATTGCACTGTACCTTGAGTCTTCTGAGCCACAGCAATTCCTTCCACTACCAGTATAGTTATCAAGAACACTGGTGACAAAAAAGAGAACAAACATAGAGATGAATAGATAAAACAAAGCTGCTAAGTTTTAGCTTCATATTCACCATGTGAAGCAAGCCTGTCTCTTTCAGTTTTGGCTTATTCAAAGTCATTATTCAAAGGACAATACTTGGTAAAATCCCACAGTTTATTTTCACCCATGTATTCAATAAATTTCATCATTACAGCAATTCTAATATACTCCTACAAACTTAATTTTTTATTGAAGTCCCAGATTTTTAACTCTCATCATGTGCCTAGTGCTATTAACTTTCTCTTACTACCTTGCTGGTATTTTGGCCACAACTCCTTCTGGGAAGCAATAGATAATTCAGGTTATTTTTGTTTTATAATATTGAACAAAATCATTATATACAGAAATTATACTTTATACTGATTTCCAAGGGGGGTGTCCAAAAGGAATAGTGAGTCCTAGATCGTATCAAGCCTGAATAGTCAGTCTCTGGAAGCAAAAATGATGAAACTGAAGCTGCCCTATTTTGGGCGCATCATGAGAAGGAAAGAATCACTGGTAAAAAAAAACAACAACAATACTGCTAAGAAAATTTGAGAGCGGCACGAAAAGGAAGGCCAAATACAAGATGGATTGACTCCTTAAAGGAAGCAACTGTTTTGAGTTTACAAGAGTTGAACAGTGCTATTAAAGACAGGGCATTTTGGAGGTCACTCACTGATAGGGTTGTGATACGTTGGAGGCAACATTACCCAAACTTAATACGATTTCTGTTTTTAGCAGCATGTGTGATATTCTGCACCTCCCAATAACTTATTTGTCATATTGAAAATTAAGCCTATATCATATTAGCTGCAACATCTTTCACATTTCTCAGTAACAAACAAAAGAAAAAAATCCTGAAGGTCTCTGTTCATTTTCTAGGTTTCTAGAAAACAACTCATGGTGACATGCAGATGATTTTAACTCTAGGAAATGGTTAACAGTAGTGTATATAATCCACTTTTAAAATACCATAGGTCCCTCAACTCATTAGAATGAAATATTTTATTAAACCTTGAAAGTGTCAAGTAGCACCTATAGTACCCTTCTTTTATATCTGATGCCATAAAAAACAGTGTACCATGTTTTATAATACCACTTATATTTTTTATTGCAGGATATATTTCATGTCAAGCAGCACAAGCGGACAGCCTAAATAAGGGCTAAAATCCTGTTCGTGCAGCGATGTCATCATAAATTTATCAATGGCTTCAATCTTTGGAAGTTAAAGACTCTGACAACCTGGCCTTTAGCTCTCAAAATCTTCCCTACAACAAACAGGAGCCTCAAGACTTTCGAGAGTGGGGACTGGAACTTTTTTATTTCCAAAAATGTGCTGTGGCTGGTGACATCATTACATGGTATAACTTACAGAACAGGATTTCAGCCAATGTGTGCTAAGAGTATCAGATTTTGACTGACTATCATGAAACATGTCCTAACTGTTAGAACCCAATTACCTCTTCAACACTGGAGGCATTCAAGAGAAAGTTAGACAGCCATCTGTGAGATATATTTTAACCTGGATTTCTCCAACTCCATTACTGTATGCCAGAGTAACTATCTATAATAACAGCAGGACTCTATTTCCCATCCCATTTACTGTGTGATTCCTCCCCTCTGTGTACTTTGCCCATGGGGAATGAGAGCAGGATAAAGTGATATTAGCAAAGGGTTTGGGACAAGACCCTGTCCCCATGACATCACTCAGCCTGCTTCTGAGTAGTGGGCAATCTCCAGGGTGAATTATTCTTCTGTGTTGTCAAGCTGCATCACAAAGTTTTCAAGACATGTGCAATGTTTAATGTGTGGTTTTATCACTGCCACCTCCAATGAGTTTCCATGACTGAACAGGGATTCCTACCCATGTCTAACTGAATCCTAGTTTATCCTTCTACCATCGCACCACAGTGGTACTCTCAATCTTCCTTTATAGTGGTACTTTATGGATTCCAAATTATTAATTATAAGCCTGTCCCGTGAAAAAGTTATGTTTTCCCACCCTTATTACATCATTAAAAGAAATAAAAGCAGATATTTCTCCTATCTCCGACCCTGTCCCCATGACATCACTCAGCCTGCTTCTGAGTAGTGGGCAATCTCCAGGGTGAATTATTCTTCTGTGTTGTCAAGCTGCATCACAAAGTTTTCAAGACATGTGCAATGTTTAATGTGTGGTTTTATCACTGCCACCTCCAATGAGTTTCCATGACTGAACAGGGATTCCTACCCATGTCTAACTGAATCCTAGTTTATCCTTCTACCATCGCACCACAGTGGTACTCTCAATCTTCCTTTATAGTGGTGCTTTATGGATTCCAAATTATGGTCAATTATAAGCCTGTCCTGTGAAAAAGTTATGTTTTCCCACCCTTATGACATCATTAAAAGAAATAAAAGCAGATATTTCTCCTATTGCTTCCACACATTGAGATTGCCTCTTTGTCATTTCAGAGGTATAATCAGAAACAGAATTTTTTTTTTGGTTAATTGTTGCTACTTTCTCTGAGGTCAAGATATAATCAAAGTTAACATGTGAATACAGTACTGGGATGGTGAACAGAATTTATAATCACTAATAGCTTGGTTTTTCTTTCTCCAAAATGAGCATTATTGTTTCTGGTCAGTTTTAAGTAACTGAAGGACTGCATTATCAGTGCTGCATTATTTTCATTTGTAAGGAAATGAAATACTCCATTTGCATATCTCATTATTACACATTTATGTCTTTATCATATAGCTTAAGACCTTCTGAAATCCATTTCCCACATATACTGAGAAAGTATTCTCAGCGGCCACTTTACACGTATGAGTTCACTGATAAAAGCAAAAAGCAAAGTGTGCTGCTTATATAATGCCCCACAGTGCTTAAAGCACTCTCTGGACAGTTCATAATTTAATCGAGAAAGCTACCAACTGTGTTATGTCTTTATCATATAGCTTAAGACCTTCTGAAATCCATTTCCCACATATACTGAGAAAGTATTCTCAGCGGCCACTTTACACGTATGAGTTCACTGATAAAAGCAAAAAGCAAAGTGTGCTGCTTATATAATGCCCCACAGTGCTTAAAGCACTCTCTGGACAGTTCATAATTTAATCGAGAAAGCTACCAACTGTGGAAGGATGGCTGCTTATATAATGCCCCATAGTGCTTAAATCACTCTCTGGATAGTTCATAATTTAATCGAGGAAGCTACCAACTGTGGAAGGATGAAAGTTTGAGTCAACCTCGAGCCAGCTACCTGAGCCCCAGATCAAACTCAGACCCTGAGCAGAGTCTTCCCTGCATATTGCAGTTTAACCACTGCACCACAAGGCCTTTGTTTTTAGCCATAATACTCTTATCAAACCAAAAGCTCAGAAGACAGAGAATCGACACAGAACTGGCATGCCCAATCATCTCACATCATTCACCCCTCTGTCAAAAATAGGTATGCATCAATAATCCAATATACCCAAAGCAATGTAAAATGTAATTTCAAACCATCTGACAATCAGAATCTAAATCACACCACTGCATCAATAAATTTGAAAAGTCTAATCCACCTCTGCCGGTTTACCAGCAGTTCATTCCTAAGTCAGTTTCAATCTTGACAGCAATCTGTTTCTGCTTAGTTAAAAAAGTATCTACAGTCACTTCAGTCAGATTAATATATTATTAATCCATTTTGCTAATTATTAACTGGTCATTGAGTGTGTGTGTGGGTATGACAGTGGAGGTAGATTCCTAGTGGAGTAGCCATGCCAGTTTATGCTTTGAGAAAATGGGGGACAGACCGCCACATTTATGCCAAATAAGGCCTCTTAGTCTTTAAGACACCATAGGATCCCTGTTGCTAGTGGTAGAGCCGTTGCTTTCCATGGAGAAGGTCCCAGGTTCAATCGCCAGAACCTGTGGGTAGGACTGAGGAAGAACCCTCTCCAAAACCTTAGAGAGCCACTGCTGGTCAGCACAGGCAACCACACACAAACACAAAGTCCTTTGTTACCGGGGTCACTTGTTTTAAACATTTAATTTCAGAGATCCTACAAAAGTTTCACGATTACATTACTAATGAGCTTTTTTGTAACCAAAATTGAAATAATATAGGTACTGTAAATACTGCCTATGAATGAATTCTGGTCTAGAAACACTACAACGATTAACTGAGAATGAGATTTATCACACTGACTGTAAAGCAGGCAGCACACTAGCAATTCTGCATATCTAGCACAAAATGAAATGATGCAGAGTCAAGGCATCAAATGATAGAAACTTAAATCTGAGAAAATGCAGTCACCTAATTATTTAGCAGAGCAAGTAATTCTCATTTTTCAGACTAATCTACCTCACAGAATGCTATAAGACACATATATCAAAAATATTTTTGGTTGCAATCTTAATTATGCTTACATTTGAATGTTTTCTTAACAGATTTTATGGAACACAGGTCCAAGAAACCAGATTGCAGTGCTACTGAAACTAAGCAGGTGTTTCTTTGTCACTAAGCTGGAGGGAGACTTTTGGAAGCACAGTTGTTAGAGGACAAATCAAAAACACAATTTATTGCAAATACTGTACTGTAGTACTTAGGAGGTTGCTACATTATAGAGAAAACATTTTTCTGTTTTTAGGAGAACTCAGCACAATGTAGCAAAACTGAGAGATACAATGAAAATGTATTCTTATACTGTATACAGAACAGGAAATCGTAAGCACCAAACAATGATGAGTTTGTAGCAGGCATTTCACTATATTAAACATTTATTCTTTTCCTCTGTGCTCTTTATAATCTTGCAGTTGCTGAAGCCCCTTGATAGCTGACACTTCTATTTATTTATTTTGTTTAAGCTTCCACTGATTCCTCTGGCTTTACCCCAACGAAGAATGCTGTCTATCTGCCTTAAACAACAGTGTTCAGGAACCAATTAAGTCTCAGTATCTAGAATACAGAATCCAGTAGTTTCCATGACAGGGTTATCTGACGGGAAGTGACACAAACTTCTTTTATTTCTCCTAGCACATCACTTCTCAGTGGCAAATAATCCAAGATTTGCAGGTAGACAAAGGTAGGCCTAGTAAGAAAAGGTAACTTTGCCATACAGAATTTATTTAATTATTTAAAATGTATTTGTTTAATATATATTTTACCCCACCTTTCTGTTTAAAAGGACTCAAGGCGGCTTGCAATACCTGAATAACACCAGAAGTAGGATGTAACTTTCATGCTGTTCCTAGTATGATCTAGTCCCTGTGTGACCTGAACATGGGCTCACAAAAACTTTCTTTTAAGGCACACGCCCAATTCATTCATGGAATTTTTTTGTTCTTTCATAAGAAAGTTAACATTCTTGAACTGCCATCATGAACTAGAACAATGCTTTTGCAGACTGCATTTCAATCTTGTATACACTAAGTCCGAGAGCTATGTTCTGGATTCATACAGCTGACAAAGGCTCATAAATCCACATTAAAATAAGTCTTTTACCTTCACGTTCAAATTGCCTTATCTTACTTTTTTTTCTTCTTGCTTTATTTCTGTAAGTCTTTTGAACCATGTTCACTTTCCCGAAGCATCAGAAAACAGGGTACATGCTGCACTTGTCCTTAAAATCCTCCCATGTCCCATAGGTTCCTGTTTTCATTAGCACGAATCATCCTGGCAGACCATATCTCTCCCAACTGCTACAGATGGTTAACTCCTTCCCATCTCTACTGACCGACTCTGGACATCAAAGAGGCATCGTAAGGGAGAACACTTTCTTTTTCCATTACAGGTCTCCATGGCACAGAGGCACTACTAATTAGTTACTACCAGGAAAAAAGACCAATGTTTTATATCAAACCCTTTCCTTTCTAGAAATTGCTGCTCCAGTGCCAGCTGTTTAACTTGACACACTCAAGAACTCTCAAAGTGCTGAACAGTGACAAGGCTGTTAACAGTATCAGCATTTAATGAAGTGGGGAGGAGGTAAGCTGATGCCTTCCCAGCATACTTTGTAGCTGCACAGACAGAGAGAGAAAGAGAGGGGGGTTTTCAGGTGTCAGAATGGAAAGGAAAGGACAGAATTATTGGAAAGCTTGAATTGCTTCACAGAAGTTTTTCTAAGATTCTGAATTTTTTTCTGAGAACACACTGCTATCAAGAACATACAGTCTTACTCCCAATCTGACTAAACACCGGAACGGTACCCTGGGAGTGGAGGAACGAAAGCATATACACATAGACCTATTTACCCACTCTAGGAAGAAGCAACATAAATAAAAGTATGTCCATAGCTCTATGAAAGGGCTAAGAGCATCTAAGTAAAACCCACACTGCTCAGAAGAAGGGAATGTGGTATTTGATTTGAAGTTGGAAGGTACTAGGAAGGCTGTTCTATGCATTTATCTATTTTTTTAAAAAAAAATCTCGGTTGTGTCATGTCTGTGAGGCTCTAAGAGAAGAATCCACAAGAGGGAGACAGTGGCCTGTTTCATGATGTTCCCGTCACAGTGTAGGAGCTTCTTTCCCATTGAGTTGGTAGGTCAATGTGTTCTGTAAATCTCTGAATAACTGTTTACAGTCCTGGGCATCCAGTTCGGCGAAGCTGCGGTTCAGTGCAATGGAGCTGCGCCTTGTAAACAGAGTTTTCAAGGCTGCAGTCAACACACAAAGAGTGGGTGGTGTACGTGTGTCACTTCCATGGATACTTCAAACAGATCTGGATGTAGTTCAATATCGTTCTGTGTTTACCTTCCATGTTCCTGTGAGACCCAAAGCTTTCTGTGCAGTTCAATAAAGAGAAACAAACTAAAATGGGGGAAAGGGAGATTTGTGTTTCCTTCAGTGAATGCAGGGGTGGGGGAAGTGATGAATTCCCCTTGCTTAGCGCATTGCACACA